CTGTGAAATGTGCAAATTTGAAGCCAAAGATGGAGGTTGTGCGTTTAATACAGTATGTTTTATTAACAAGGGGATAGCTTCGAGCGATGTTAATGTATTCTCTAGGAGCAGTAGTCCTGGTATGAAACCACTACAGGTGTTAGCTGTGACCGGGGCATCCGGTAATGGTGCTCAGCTGCGCAAGTGAGAGTTGGACTTGTGGCCTGTGGTTGTAAAGTTGAATCTGGCTCGAGGACGTGCTGGAGAGCAGCAGGGTGGCTGTAGGTTACAAGGGCCTCAGCCCACGCTACAACTTAAGCTGCTCTCTCATCCATTACACGTGCTGCCTCTCTTCATACGTCCCTCTTTCTGCCCATGCGTGCCTCTTACTCCTACTACCACAATCTCAATAGCCTTTATCATCCCTCCCTGTCTGTCTTCTTGTGCCCTTTTTCCGTCTTGTTAACTTGTATCCCAAGCGAAGAAACCAATCCCATGAATATTTCCTGCAAGTAACAAATTACCTGCTCACTAGTCCACTCTTCATTGTTGAGATGTGTTTGTTGTCATTTGAGACAGCAGCAGTAATAGTTTAAAGGAAGATCTATATTTTTGTTTAATGCTGGACAGCAGATGATGCCTTCAGCATACAAATTGATTCATAGTCTGGTGGCGGATTTCATCTGTTGATAGCACCACCACTTTGTGCCATGTCATGCTTTAATATCTACAGTTTATCCCAAAGTAATTGTTTTTACATTTAGTGGTTCACTTTGTGACAATGGGAATGTTTGCCAGGTCTGGTTAACTACTAAACATGAAACTATTGCCTAGAAAGCATTGATAGTTGGTGTAATCATATAAGAATAGAGTTCCTCCTGAAAAAAGGGGGAATATTGACAGTGTCAGTTTCAGGGGACAAGCTTAAAATCTTAATCAGCAGAAAGAGGTGGCTGGGAAACAGCAGCAAGTAAACTTTTTGAAGAAGTAGGATATCTTTAGTTTACTTTAATGAATTATTTCTGTTGTTTACATCCTTCACATTCTAGTAGATTCAGAGACTCCCGTGGCTACTGGTGGTCCCAAAAGTTTAGTTTTAAAGGACTGATTTTAGCAACCATTCTATTTTCTTTTCCCTAGTTGTTCAGCCATGCAGTTATAATTGTTCTGACACAAATATGTTTCCTCTTCAAAATGCCATAGACCAACTGTTATGCTCAGCTGTGTTATGTCATCACATGACATATGTGCATGTGCACACATTACATTACATATGTGCATCTATACACATTACATGCAATGTGCACATGAGATGATTCTTCCCTTCTGAATTTTGCCCGGTCTGTGGACATGTCATTTCCTGTGAATCTCTTGTGCATATGCATGTGATTTGAACACATACATTTAATTTCTATAGCAGGATAAATACCAGCCATGAATACAGTATCAGACATTGGGTTTGGTATAACTTTAAAGGTTTCTATGGAACTGAAGTTGTTTTCATGGCTTTGAAAGCACTGGGTGTTGATTTATGTTGATTTGTGTCTTGCAAAGAGTTTAGGCTTTTGACACACCTGGGATTTATTAGCTGTCATGTCCTGACACCTTTACCTGCTCCTGATGATCTTAAAGTAAAACCAAAAGATTGAAACTGCTCCTCTGTTTTTTTTTGGAGCAACTCTAAACTTCTAAACATCAGTGAAGCTCCTGGTTTTTGTTGTAAACATGTTTGCATGCTTTGATGTTTACATCAAAGTACCATATGTCTGGTGTTACTGAGAGGATTATTAAGCAATTCTCCAATTTGTTTGATATTTTCTTCTTCAACAATCTCCACTGACATTGGAAATAAGTATGATCTAGTTTATCTTTTGAGATCTATATCTCTTTCTGTATTTCTCTGTTTCATTCTGTCTCTCAACTAAACAGGAGCCTGACAAAGGAAGGATGTCTGTGAAAAAAAAAACAATACTTATTTTTAGCTTCCCACACTCCTGATATGGCCCACATCCAGAAACACACCTGAGGGGATTTGAGAATCCAAGCTCCCGCAGGCTGACAAAATGATGGACGGCGTATTTAACCTTAATGAGTTTCCCAATTTTCTGTAATCAAGGCATTGTAAATAATGATTATATACCTTCCTAAAAATACCCAAGATCATTATTGCTAAGCTTCACAGAGGTTGCTATATTTTATATAGAATCGCTGATTTGCACTACAGGACCATGACCCATATAGAAAGGACTGAAAATCGAGAGGCATTGTGGTTGCCTCCTTTTAGAAATTGTCACCCGAGAGAAGTCCTCACCAGAAGATGCTGCTAAATATAGTTCTGCAACATCAAAGGTCCTCTTTGAAATGTGTGTGCTGCTCAGTCAGTAGCTCTGCCTGTGAGGCAGGCTAATCTGACGGGTACACAAGCCCCCATGCAGACAGACACAATCAAGAAACTCTCCACTGGAGGTGTGACACACACATACCTACTCACACACACATACATATGTTTTACACAACAGTTTTTCCAGCAAATAACAGGGTTCCCTGCTGCTCATTTGCTCTTAGACACAAATTGCTCAGTCAGCAGGTTACAGTTTGATGTTTAAGCCTCAAAGGTCGTCGACAGTGAACTCCCGCATAGAGGTCTAAAATAGTGTGTACAGGGTGCCACTTTATTCCATATGATAGTCATGTTTGACAATTTCATTGCTTGTGGAAGAAAATTACTTCTGTAAACAACAACCAGAGTTCAACCGCTGTAGTCTCCATCAGACGAGCTGATTGTAAAGATTTGTGTGGCTTTAGTTTCTCCATTTAAGGACCAATCAATCTGCATATTAACAAGACAAAATCGGAAAGGCTTGGCAAGCGGCTTAATGGCCTCATTTGGATTCATTTTCTATTCATTACATTGTTTGATGCCGTCTGGAGAAAGTTGAAACCATATCTCTGGAGTTTTGATTGAAGATGTTTTGCTGTTCTAATGAAAAGGCTTCCTCAGTTCAGAAATGACAAAGTCATCAATTCAGTAATATGGATTCAACTTTTTCAGACATCGTACCAGCCCAGATGCGCTGAACAGACTCCCTGAGAATGACTTTTAAATCAAAAGGTAGCCACGCCTTAACAAATACCCTTCTTTATCATCTAACTTATTTAAGACTTGAAACTTTTTTTTTACAGTCATTAATCAAGTTAGAAGTAGGGTCATTTTTCCATAAGACTCAATACAATCAACTTATTATTTGCAGCCCATGGAGCTTGCCCCCTGCTGGCCATTAGAAAGAATGCAATTTTAAAACACTTCGTCATTGGCTTCACTTCACAGACCAGGAAGCTTTGTCCTCTAATTATATACTGTCAATGGTCACATCTCTTTTCTACTTAACATGGGCAGTATGTTTCACATCACTACTTTGTCACGTTATGTGTACAAATGAGTCCACAGCCTGAATGCTTTGGCCATTTTCCCATTTTGAAAAATTATCACTTGTCATCCCTTTTGACATCTTTTGACGTTTCCATCCCACTGTAGTGTGTGGCTGTTCATAACAGCTATTAACACTTTTACCTTCAGACCAACAACACATGGACAAAGTTGTTTGTTACAAGCATACGCTGGTGCACTCTTGAAACAGCTCTTCAGGGGGGCTTGTCGGAAGGCCGAACAACTTCTGAAACCCCCGCCACTACTGTCTGATGTCTGAATTAGGGGAGTTGTGTCCAACAAGTTCTGTAACTTGACAGTCTCACGCACTTCACGCCATGATTGGATTTTGATCTTCTCCATCAAGATCTCTCTTTTTTAGAAACTATTTCTATCACTTTTACAAACAAGCCTTACCGTGCCTTGTAGAAGAGACTGTCTGGAAATGTACAAGATTATCCCACATTTAAATAATCATTGCTTCTACCCCTTTTATGATGAACTGCTTTTCAATCTGCCTTCGAGTGCGGCTGTTCGGAACAGCTATGAACACATTTATCTTCTGAAGGTGGTCAGAAAACATAGAAACTAGTTCTTATCTAGCATTACCGGTCTACCCTTTTTTCCCATAGGTTAGTCAGAAAAACTGCTTTTTTCTGATTAGTTCTCTTTGTGAAATTTAAGGTTTTCTAATGAATGTTTGAAAGAAATTTAATCTGCATACTCCTGGTCTCCCTGGTCCATGACTGCACAGTACAGTACCTTTCACAGGCATCGTTGCAGGAGCGATGTCAGGTGGGCTTTTAAAGTCAAATCACCTCACACCACCTACCCGGGGTGATCAGTGGCACAGTTGTTCCCCTGCTAACTTTAAAACACACAGATGGACACTTTATATGCCGTAGTGAGGGTATAACAAGTGTGTTTTACGGGCTCCTCTTTCAGTGTGAACAACCCTTGCTCAGATGTGAAAACCCATTCAGCACCTCAGGGGTAGAGTGCCTGCGTGTTATCACAGCCGGAATCGGTTTTAACAAGTCTAATTAGCACACGGTGATGAGGAAGTATTTAGGATGTCGTTTGTACCTCAGTTTAACATGATAAATACTTTGACACACATTGTTTTTGGAGGGGTGAGGTGTCAGTGAATTTGACTTAAAATGCTGCTATTACAGGGTAAAATATTTTCATCACTCCTGTGTTGCAGTCAGCTGGCAGAAGTGCAGCTCCCTGTCATGGAGTCCTCGACATGCTGTCAGCCCCATGCAAATTGACTTGATTTCTCCTCTTGGTGTCCAAATTGCATCACTTAGCTCCTGAAGTGGTACCTTGCCACTCCCCCCCCCCCCCCCCGAAAGCACACTGCTCAAATATTCAGCCTCTGCTGTGCGAGAAGGAAGGAGACAAGAAGGAATAAAGAGGGCACTTAATGAATAGAGCAGGGTCAGGGTCAGCGTGTTTCAGCTCTGGTGTGTTCTGATCTTTTCTAAAACACTGACAAAGACTCACTTTTATTCAAAGTCTCCTCTCATTCAGCAGTGATGAGGCGTTCAAAGCCGCAGAAGCTCTAACTCTTCTCGCTTATCTCCTGCAGGCACAACCAGGCAGCCCAAGGAAGGAGAAGTCCCTGGGGTGGATTATAATTTCGTGACCGTTGACCGGTTTATGGAATTGGAGAAAAGTGGAGCCCTTCTAGAGAGCGGAACATATGAAGGTAAGGATTTAGTTAAGTCACGCTTGTGATTGCAGTCAGTCCTCTTTGTGATATTTCTAATTTTTTATGGAATATATGCTGCAATTGGACACCCCAGGCATTTTTCTCGCTGTGAGTGACAGCGGTTTGAATGACCGCTGAGACGGGCTCATCACTCCACGTCCACACACTGCACTGCACAAGTATGCTTCCATCCATCCATCCATCTTTAAGCTTTTGTGGAGACAAGAGTATCATCAGTCATGTAGGACACTGAAAGGAATCCTCTGTAAATTCTGAATGAAGAGAAGCCAACACACACACACACACACACACAAACACACACATACACATGGATGCAGTACCTTCATGTTGGCTCTCTTTTGGCTCAGTCCTTGAGCCTGAGCTGCAGTGGCTCTTCAGTTGCCTAATCAAAACAAACAGACACTATCTATCCTCTCTCTCCTGTGGTTGGACAGGCCCGAGGCTTGGATTTTAAACCACTCGAAAAACGCAGCCCGTGGTCTGCCTGGGCACCTCCAACTCTCAGGAGACCTCTGCCATTATATAGATAACACATAGCAGCTAACTTTGTTCTCTCCCGCCTGACTCGGGTCTCTGTCGGCCTGCCACCACTGCAGGAAGGAGAGGAAAAAAAATTGCAGATGGCCAATTTAACGGTTGGTTGCCAGAAGCAATGTTAGATAGTTTAGGCGATACGAGCTGCCTTCCGCCAGGAGAGGGAGATTCTTCTGCGTGGCCACTCGGCCATCGTTCAGCGTTTTATATATTGTAATTATTTAATGGCCAATTAGATGTGGAAGAGAGAGAGAAGGGTTGAGATTTAAAAGGAAGGCTGTAGTGAGGATCAGCTAGCAGAAGAAAGGTTGTATTGTTATTAGAAAGACTGTGAACTGCTGACATCTCACAGTTAGTCACTCTGTTTAAGCCAATACCTCAAATGAATTGAAAAATGTAAGTCACAGAGTAGGAGGAACTTTCTTCAGGTAGGTTCCAGAGCTGAGGGGCTTTGACTACAACAGCCTGGTAACCTTTAGCAAGTGGCAAACTCAGAACATTTCATTGCTGCAGTTAGAAACACGACTCCATAGTTGCAGTATTCATTTGGCATTGACCCAAAATCCAAAAGGGTATTATCAGTGTAACCTTCAGCTTTAGCGCGCTGTTAGCAGTACACGCAACAGCAGTTCATAGATAGTATATTTTTATCTAAGAACCAGATATTTTCTAACGCAGTTGCTCATCTTTTGTACCGATGATTAGACAGGGAGAGTTTCCTTCCCATCCAAGGCCAAGTCCCCTGATACAGGCCAACTAATCCCTCAGCCGGGTCAGTATATCAACTGAAATTTGCTCATTGCAGATATCTCAACATCTGCATATATTTTAGTCAATCAGTTACAAGAAACATTTGAACAGCGAGCACAGACAAGTTAACTTTTCAACTGTAAAACACATTGCTCAGTTCTTACAGTATCTTGGTCACAATACTTCAATAACCAAATTCAAGGTATCCTTATCCAGATATTTGTTCACGTCATGTTTGTTTATAAGAAAAATCTGAAAAATATCAGTTGATATATAATTGATGAACTGCTGGATATTAAAGTAAAAATTCTTGTTTATTTCAACCTGGAAAGATGTAAGAGACTTGCACAGCTTGTCCTTATATACATTGTTTTGCACTAGTCATCTCGATAGCAGCGGTGGCTAGTGAGAAGTTAGTCTTGGTAGTTATTGTCGATGCAGAAAGAAGACTTTCTGGAACCCTAGTAGCCCAAAACAACCCCTTCCATTTTGCTTCTGTATTGTAAAATATGACAACATCAAACAACATTTGATGATCTTAGTCCTCAAAGGTTGTGATTTAAATCGTGCTTCAGCATTTCTTTTGAATATTTCCCTCTGTCCAAGAATTAATTTGGTGGAATTTGTTTTCATTTCTTTTCCTCAGTTTTATCAGCACATAAGTGAGACTCTAGACTGAAATCAATGCGATGTTCAGGTGTGACAGCAATTCCACCACGTAATCAAACTTCAAAGTCCATGTTTCTCTCATGCTGCGGGTTATTTAAGTTCACACAGGGAGCACTTGCACCATTTCTTCTTTCTTCTCAGAGGCAAATCTTCAGCTCATTAAGGCTCCAGGATTTGTGTCTGTGGTTCGGGGGTTCTCATCCCAACAGTCCCTGTAATCTCTTTACAGCTGCTTCCCCACATTTTCCGTCGCAGCCTTCATGTTTTCCAGAACATGAACATGATGTTTCAATAGGTCTTTCCAACACAGAGGGGGACACAAACTGATATTTTTTTAAATCTCACTGGCTATGCTTCCTGTTTCCAAAACAGTATGCTGTTAGAGTTTGTGTCTAATGTTCAAGCCCAGTGCAGAATAGAATAGAATAATCTCCATGGATTTTTCAAACACATCGTCGCCTCATGTCTGATATTTCTGCCAGGGACACTTGAGTGGAGCTGAAGAGATAAATAATATGGGCCCATCTAGTACCAAACCTAGTGCGAACTGCTGCAGACCTAAACTGTGGCTCCTCTGAACTGATTCCGTGAAGACAATCTCTTCAATTTACTTTCATGCTGTCGGATTTAAAATAGCCTCAGAGACAAGCAAGTTTCTTAAAGAAATCTCTCAGACTTTAGACCAACACGACTTAACATCTCACTCCAGCAACTGTTTCTTGCACAAAACCTTGCTTGTTACTGTTTGTGTGAAAACCTACAAAATGTCACATTTTCAGAAGTTAAAAATGAGAACCTAGTGTTCGGCTTGACAACAATATATTTTTCTGTTATTTCTCTGGGTTTTAAAGATGTTTTACAACCCTGAGAGTTGTGGATCTTCCTCAAGCCAGAAGGGAACATTTAACCTTTTGACACAATTTCCCATGTACCCCCCTGCATATAAAGTCGGTTTTATTTCCTCAGGTTTTGAGCCGTTGAGATTTCTGCTGTAGCCGCAATTCAAAACATGTGAATGGAATTTTCTTCTGTTCTGGTTAAAGCTTTGAAAAGTGACATCTAACAACTCAACTCTTTCCAGTAGTTTTCAGCATTTTTGACCTTTAGAAGAAAATAGTCCATAAAAAGAAAATCTTCACAGTGACCCTCAAAGTAAACATGAAGTTATGAGGTTTTAACAATGACTGATGGAGACTGCTGCAGGGACTGAGCTGCTGTCAGGAGACAAGCTGAAGGACAGTAAAATATAAAATCAACATAGACGACTGGAAGGAGCTGTTGACTCAGAGCCAAGTGAAAAACTGCAGTTCCCAGCGGTTGGCAGTTAGTAGTGGGCAGACACCAAAAACTTAGAGTTACAGTGATTATTCAGTCATATGCCAGGGAAATCCATGCATGGTCTAATAAGTGACTGATGAGAAGATGTAAGACAACAACAAATTATCCCCCAAAATTGGTGAAATTAGTTCATGACGAGGTGTGTGCATGTCAGCGTGCCTTTGTTTGCAAATATGCGTTGCTTTGTGCAGATCTTATAACTGTTGTAATATTGTAAGACATGATGTGATCTTGATCCCCCAGCTGGTGTGTTCAGGGATCAGCTGGCTTCGACTACTCCTCATCCTCCCTGTAGCTGGTGCATCCTTCGACCTACTGCTCCCTCTTCTCTCATCCTTACTTTTTACTCTGTGGGCCTCTTTGCTATATTTTAACTCTCCTTCTCTTCATTTTTTCATTATGTGGATTTAATGTGTCAATTTTGCTATGTTTTCTGTTATTAAGATTTAATGGAAATGCTTATTTAATTCAAGAATCTTGTATGTTCTTGTTTGCCATGTAGGCAGCTTTTTAAAGGTGTACCTTGGCAGAATTGGGATTTAAGCTAAATGTGTAAATATGTAGGCATGTTAACACACAGTGACACTGCTAACATGCTGATCCTTTTCACATAATATTTACCAGGTTCACCATCTTAGTTTAACCTGTTAGTATTCTAACACCACAGTTGAAGTGTAACTGAAAGTCATTAGTTTTGCACCAAAGTAATAGACGAATTACATTTTGATGATGGCATTAGATGGAAAGTGTAGGGATGACAAAAGTTATTATAATTAATTCTCAAGGGACCTTGAATATCTGTATATGGCAACCAACCCAATAGTTGTTGCTCAAAACAAAAACTCCTCAGAAAAAGTCACAGGATCAGCAAAGTCATTAAGATTCATTCTTCTGGGGATCAGGAATTTCTGAATCAGATTTCACAATAATCCATCCGATAGTTCTTTGGTATTTTCTTCTGAACCACAAGTGTCAACCTCATGGTCGTCCTAGAGAAAAGTCAGAGGATCACCAAAGTTATTAGAATTCATCCTTTGTGGACAGTGAATGTCTGTACAAACATTCATGACAATCCATCCAGTAGTTGTTAAGATATTTCATTCAGACATTTTTACACCTTCAGCCATGCAGCTAGCGTTTCTAAAATACGAGATTTAATCATTTGGCATATAAAAATGACTTTGGTCTAAATGTCTCACAACTCTTCCTCCTCTTTGTTCCAGATAACTTTTACGGTACCCCGAAGCCTCCGGCTGAGCCCAGCGCTCTGCTGCTAAATGTAACGGACCAGCTGTTGCCGGGCGCCAGACCCACCTCCGAGGGCAAGAGGAAGCGTAACAAGTCGGTCAGCAACATGGAAAAAGCCAGCATCGAGCCCCCAGAGGAGGAGGAGGAGGAGAGACCCATCGTCAATGGCAACGGTGTTGCTGTCACCCCAGGTCAGCCCCGACAACGACCTCCACAGACGCAGAGGCAAAGGTCACTTGAGCCAGAAGCCTCGTCATGACAGCTAGGTTTGAGGTCACGCTCTATGTCTGGCTGATCCACAGGATCAGTTGATAGTGTTGTTTAAGTCATAGCAACTGGCTTCTCTAGAGTGGTTGCCTAGCAACAGAGACAGTAACAGATTGCTTTTACATGGATTTCTTGGAAAATGATTTTATGGCAGATTATCACTTTTAATTGGTTACACAAATATCTTTATGTGCAATTTAATGACCAGATATGTAAACTCTAAATTATAATTCACTCTTACAGTCAGTGATTACCTCTGCAGTCCAAACTGTTTATGTTTAAAGCATTAGTGCCGTTGCTCTCCAGAATATGATATAATTCATTAGGTTTCATTATCGAGCACTGTCTCAGCACAGATAGCTAGAGGGCATACACATATATTGCTCTCCAATTCAACAGGAGTCTGCAGGCTCTTTTAAAAATCAACATTAAGTGTTTTCTCTCACTTGTGAGTGAGCCCTGTCCAAACCATTGTTATCCTCTCTGTAAACTCTAAAAATAGGAAGAAGTGACATTCAACACAGTACGCAACAAGACCAAACCTCTTGAGGTTGTTCTTATTCATGAAATAATAGAGAAAGACATTTCTTGGAACAGATATTAGTCTTCAGCAACATTCAGAGTAATGTACTGACTAAGACACACACAGAAACCCTTTGAACGCATCCCGTGATCACATGATAAGACCATCATGAAAGAGCCTTTATGAGTGATTTTTGTGATTCCAAATCCAAAACCATGCTTTGGTCCTGTGACTTTCTAAGCTGGTTTTATGCCCTCAGGACAGCAAAGTCTCTCACAGTAGTCAGAACAGCACAATAAGTCAAAGTGTTTGGGCACTGATCCCAGTTAGTGCCAGCACTCACTCTTATGTGTGATTGCTATTTTTTTTAAAGATATGTTGAACCTTTAGGGAACTGTTAAAGGAAGTGTTTTAAGAAAGAAGGTTTGGTAAGAGGATGAGATTTTGGTTTCCCTACCACAAGGAGCTCAAACAAGGTAGGACCCTTAATTGGTAAGAGAAATACATACATGTGCATATTTCAACATCTCCTACAATATTCTAAAGTGTGCTGTGCAATACTTATGGTGACTTTTCTTGTATGTCAACCTTCTAAAAATGCATAAAAAGTACTTAACTTAAGGGAAAGATAGAAAGAAAAAGAAAGACAAACTCATTTAAATGCAAGAAATAATACTGTAAATGTAAAAATAACACCTAAATGACAGGTAGATGTATATAAAGATCTATTATTCTTATTTATTCAACACCTTTCCTTGTGTTTACAAAGTGATTCAAAGGGTAAAAAGAAAGAAAAGACAGAATACTAAATTAAATGCACAGAACGGTTTTAAACCGGATTAAAAATAAAATATAATGTAACAGAATATATAATGTGACAGCATTCTTAATGTTTATAAAGTGCATAATTTAAATTATTATTAAATTAGATTAACATTATGTGTAAATTAAAAAATGTAATATGAATGTTAAAAGTTAAGATGAATATAAAAAACTATAAATAACAAAAAAGAAAAGGCACAACTGAAAATTAAATAATGTCAATTTATATAATTGGATTTCTGGAGGTGATGTAAACGAAGGTGATGTTTTTGCCCACCTGATCTCCTCCTAAGTTATTCCGCCTTAGCGGTCATAATCGCAAGGACACAATCCCCGTTTAGCTATATCAGTGATCTCAGCCAGTTCACCGGTTCATAAAGGGTTAAAAGTTCTGTAATTGGAAAAATCCCAGTGTCCAGTTGTTATCTACATTTGCTCTAAATGATGCAGTCACTGATTGTACCCCTGAGAGTTGAGACAAAATGCAGGGACAGGAAACATTTCTAACTGATTCCTATCGGCAGCGTTGAGATGCTCGATAACTTCGGGCTCCGGGCTGTGCAGTGAGCCATGTTTGATGTTAAAGTGGGCTGCAGCGTTCAGCTCAGGAGGAGTTTTGTCTCTGTAGATGGACAGAGTGTGGGCTGACCAGGAGAGCTGAAGGGGAATCAATAGAGCACAGCAGGCTCTGTGATCTAAGCAGATAGCTACCTCGCTCTTTCCCTCCCATAGATTATCTCTGAATCCCCCCTGCTCTCATTTGTCCCCTCTCCACTTCCCTCCACCAGCCGTCCTCAGGAAAAGCACACACACACACTTCTCACCATCTCTTTCTCTTTCTTCCACACACACCATTTCTCTCTCTCTAACACATTCACACACTGCCACAACTCAAAATAGGGCATCACAGCCAGCTACTCTCTCAATCTCTATTGTCTCTTCTGCTTTATTCGTCTTTCTGTCTTGTTAACCTCAATCATTCCCTCTCTTGCCTTCACCTCTCTCCTCTCTTTCCCCTGAGTCACCACTTCTCCTCACCCTTTTCTAATCATTCTTTCCCTTTTTTCCTCTGTGTCCACCCTAACCCCAACTCTCAATCAATCTCTTTTCCCTGCCTCCTACCACTCCTTCTGCCTCGCTTCACCTCCCTTGTCCCTCTCCTTTCTTGAGCGATGATGTCGTGCTTGTCTCATCCTGCCCCGTTGTCACCTCAGAGTCAAGCGAACATGAGGACAAAAGCACAGATGCTTCGGGGGACATCGCCCCGCAGAGCAACCCAGCAGAGGCCCCAGCCGAGCCACCCAAAGACGACGGCCTGTCCCCAAAAATTACAGTACCCAAACCAGAGGAGAACGACGAGCTAGGGCCACTGCCTGACAACTGGGAGATGGCATACACAGAGAAAGGAGAGGTCTACTTCATCGAGTAAGTGTCATGGTTACATCTAACCCTGCTCCAGGACATTGCGTCAGTCTGTGCATTGCTGATGAAACTTGGATATTTTAGTCACTCAGGTGTTCCTAAAACTCACTGCAGAAATAATGCTGAAAATACAAACTGAGCAGATGGAAGAAAGTCTTCTTAGCGACTTTTAAAGAAGTATTAAAGGATCTTTATGACCACTTGGAGGCAGAAGAACAAGCTATAAACACAACAATTATATATTATCATCTAATAAAGTTGCGTATTTACGCATTCCAGCAGACACTGAGGAACATTAGCATTCATTTAAAGTTATATGACTGCCAGCTGATGAGTGTAAGTCCAATATCCACTCCTCTTTTAGCTGTTTTTGATCTCCATAAATATGGTTGCTGTGCAGGTAGAGCTTTGTTGTTGAAAACGACAGCATTTGGAAACGATCTGGTGAGAGTGAACCAAAGCAATAAAGTTGAAAGGTTTTGAACCAAACAATGAGCTAAAAGGTGCTAAAATGCAGCTTAAAGCTGGGGCAAACTGCAGGATTAGGTTTGTCACTAAGACCGGCCCCTTTCTTTGAGCCATGGCTAATATAAAAATATGAATTAGTGCAGGTTTAAAGTAGTAAAAAAACCACTTTGGGTGGTGCAAAGTAATAAAACAAAACAAAAAAAGAAATCAGACAGAGAAAGGTATCTTCTATTAACATTAGCTGTATTGTAGCAATGATCTGCAGCATCTTAAATTTTTATAAGGACCCTGTGGAGTTTCCTTGTAAACAAAGTTCCTGTTTACATTCAGGATTACTCACCAAAATACATCGAGTGTATCTTAACAAACATGTTGAGTGCATTTCATTCCTCATAAAATATCTGCAGAGCCAATTCTCTGAAGTGAAACCATTGGAATGTGAATGAATGCGTACTGTGAGTCAACCTTTTGCATAATAATAATAATAATAATAGCAAGCAAAACAGAGACTTACTTGTAGAAACATTTCTCCACAGTGCCACTAGTGGTCAAAAACTCCACATGGTACCTTTTAAATAAAAGATGTCTTACTCTTTGTCTAACTGTAACGGAAAAGAGAAAGGACTTCAATGTTCCACTCAAAATCTGTACAAGTATAAGAGAAACAGAATCAGAACAACCGCCGTGAATGCCTGTTTCCCACCATCTAGTGAGTTTGTATTTTCATTCTCATGTAACAAAATTAAATTGAGCCAGGTGGGCCAGGTAGCATCTAAATTTACTTCTGTATATTCCCCACAGAAACCCACACATACAGAGACCGTAATTGATGCTTGGTGGTTTAATGAGATTTAGAGGTCCCCAGAAATACATTGCTACACCGAACTCTGTTATACAAGCTCTAAAGTTTAATTCATTGGGGTTGTTAGCCTTTTACAGCTGCAGTAAAAACTGTGGAGGTGAGTCTTTCTTACACCACAATAATGGAGTTGCCGTGTATTTTTGTAGTGGTGCTGAGGGAATTGAGTGTGTGCATGTATGTGGACATGAGTTCTTGTATAGCATTAACTAATGTAGCCATAATGGGGAATAATTCTGCTATTACAAAAGCTTTTATTGCTTCAATAGATCATTTCAGTCATCAGGCTAAATTTCTCCACAGCATTGATTGAATCCAAGCACGCTTGAATGCATCATAAACTGCTAGAAGCTGCACAGCAACACCAGACTAAGAAATGAGGCGGCGGTGATGCAGTTGTCACCCAGCCAGGCACATGTTGCCTCTTCATATCCACAGAAACAGACTTTCATTTCCCTCCACTACAGACGAGTCACCGTGCATCTCCTCCCTTAAAACAGAAAAACCTCACTCTCTCACATCCATCAAGCAAATTACACAGCTAATGCAGTTAGCCCACTGAATTTGTAGCTTCAAGATTTTTTTTTTTGTGTCTGGGCATATGTGATGCAGTGCCAAAGGGATAGTGGTTGCCAAGAGGATGCTTCCCTTTGATTGGCCTCCATACGAGATCAATTCGTTTACCTCCAGCCCTTGAAGTGAGGCGGCTGAGGAGAAGCATAGAAGGAGGGAGATGGAAGGAAAAGAAAGTGATACTGATTAAAAATAGTGAAGACTGAAAAAAAAAGGAGGTGAGCGGGAGGATAAGAAAGAGGAAAAAGTAGTTGCAGATATTTATACTATAAATAGTGATATTTGGCAGTAGAAGAGAGGAAGGAAGAGGAAAAGAGAGAGGCAAAGCGGAGGACTTTACCTTACCTTATCTATTTGGCTCTGTATGTGGTTTGGGCTTTAGTCTCCTACTTTTATCTCTGTGTTTAGGCAATGTCTGTCTGTTAGTTTGTCTAAAGGTAAGTTTCCACCAACATATCTCAACACCGTGGTGCCACTGCAAGGTTGACATTTTTGGTTTGGATTGAAATGTTTCAAAAAAATGTTGGATGGATTACGTTGCAATTTTTTCTTCATTAATGTTCCACTCGGGATGAATTACAACAACTTGAACTTTTTCTTCGACCTGCTCAATATGAGCATAATAGCATTATCATTGTAAGTATGGCAAAATTTGCATTTATGCTATGCAGCTGGTAAATGGTAAATGGAATGTACTTATATACCGCCTTTCTAGTCTTTTGACCACTCAATGCGCTGTACACTACATCCCACACACCCCATTCACACACATTCATACACTGATGGCAGTGGCTGCCATGCAAGGTGCCAACTGCTCACCAGAATGGAAACTAATCATTCATACACACTCATACACCGATGCACAGTGTCGGGAGCAATTTGGGGTTCAGTGTCTTCGACATGCAGTGAGAGGAGCCAGGGATCAAACCGCCAACCTAGTGGACGACCCGCTCTACCTCTCAGCCACAGCCACCGCCAAAGCTTGGCTATAGAGTTTTTTATATTTTAGTCCAACTTTATTTTAGTTTCTTTATGTTAAAATTGAATAAATGAAATGTCCCACAAAGAATGAACTCTATGGTGCTAATGCTCTATGGAACTTTTTTTTGCCTCTTTTAGCTCATTGTTTTGGTTTTCACAGCCTGCAAATTGTGCTGACATCAACCTCATTTCCAGTAACAGCAGGCAGATGGACAAAGTTAGCAACCGGCTGGTGAAGACATTTGAACATCTGTTGCAGCAGCTAAAGAGCGAGAATTTGTCAGGTTGACAGAAACATGACTCCAAATGAATTCTAATGTTGCTCCGTGTCTGCTGGATGTGTAAAACAGTTTAAAAACACTGTCACCATGACAACTTTATAAAGTGATAATGTGTGAGTTTTCAGCTTGTCCCTTAGCTTCCAACTGGCCAAAAAATATAATTAATGGAGCTTTAACGTCTGTATAGATTCATATTTTACGCAGCTTTTATGCTTTATTTAGTATTACTGTTTAGATTGTTATTCTTGTCATTGGACTTTAATGCCTACTTGCAAAAAAAAATTCTTTGGGAAGTAAGTATTGAAAAGACTAAAGACACAACAAGGCCTCTTTACAGCATCCCCTTCCTTCATCTTCTCACCTTGGTTTTTTTACTGTAGGCACTTTGTGTACACCTCCCCCTGCCCTCCCCCTCCCTTACTGTCATCATGAAGGGAGGCCATTGTGGCTCCAGAGCTTCAGACGAGCTGTGGAGATGCATCGAGTTTTCCTGGCACACCATCATATCTGATCTAGATCCAGCTCTCTGCCCGAGGCTCGGGATGAATCTGCCAAACTCACAGCTGTTCCCCTCCATCACTCCCTCAGTCACCCCTCTATCCCTTTCTGCCCCATCTCCACCCCTCCTCCCCCTCTGCCCGCTAAGTAAGCAAATTAAAAGTATTGATTGCCATTTTGTTAACCTAAAGCTTTTTTTACCCCACCCCGTCTCTCTCGTCACCTTTTTAGAGGCAGGCATGCAAGGGAGTCTCATCTTTCCTCTCTGAAATGATTCTCCGGCTGAATTAAGAATCCACCAACCTCCTTCTCTCTTTCTGCCAAGTCTCCTCTCCCTCGCCATCTATCACACTCCCTCTCACTCTCTCTCTGTCGTCTCTTCACAGCCACAACACCAAGACAACATCGTGGCTGGACCCGAGGCTAGCCAAGAAGGCAAAGCCGCCCGAGGAATGCAAAGAGGATGGTGAGTACTGCGTCTCTATCTTCTATTTTTCCTTTCCTTCTGATTTTTTTGCTCCTTACGTTCGTTCATTTTAATTACACAACTTTCCCCACAGCATTAATATAATAGTTCAACCTTGCCTGTTGATCGGACAAGATGCATAGTGAGATAATTTCATTAAATTTGCTGATTTTGTTGTGCACCAGCATAGGATTTCTGTATTTTTTTAGGAGTTATATGGTGACAGTGTTGGTGTGTGTGTGTGTGTGTGTGTGTGTGTGTGTGTGTGTGTGTGTGTGTGTGTGTGTGTGTGTGTGTGTGTGTCACTGTGGATAGGAAGCCCCGTGATATGTGTGTTTAAAGCCCAGGTCCTGAGAGACTGGATGTTACAAAGACTTCTTTATTCTCAACAGAGAGAGATGTGGAGTGTCCTTCACCCGCCCACACACACACGACAAACGCACACCAAAAAGAAAGGAGAAGGATGAATGTCAACGCAGCGAGCGTTTATAGACGAGCCTACATATATATATATGAGGGTGTCATCTATCTCTTTCGCCCTCACCTTCCCTTCCCACTTCCCCATTCGTCTTTTTTTTTTATGTGTGCGGGAGAGTGGATTTATCGCCTGAGTTATAGACAGGGAGGTGGTGGAGCTGAGCTGAGGGACTGGATTTGGAGATGGACAGAGACAACGAATGAGAAATGACAGTTGCTTTTTTGAGTGTGTGTCTGTGTGTGTGGTATACGTTCATAGCGGGGAGGGTGGGAGAGTTTGTGTGCATATTCCTGGTAAACACGTAACCACAAGGATAGAGTTTCGCTAAAAATATATTTGGTACGCAGACGCGCGCACACACACACACACACACATGAAGACACAGAGACAGACAAACAAGTGTACTCCTGAGTCAAACAGTATTTTCAAATTGCTCTTCTCTTCCTTTTGACCTGTGCCAGTTGTGTGTGACCTTACGACTGTGTGGTGAGTAGGGCTGCAGCAAATTCTTTTTATTATCAGTTAATCTGTAAGCTGCTTTTTTGATTTAATGTTTAGTCTATAAAATGTGAAAATAGTGGAAAATGTCAAGACCCAAAGGTGATGCCATCAAACTTCTTATTCAGTCTAAACAACAGTCCAAAACCCCCAAAATATTCCATTTTAAATGATGTAAAACAAAGTCAGTCCACCGCTTTAATCAAGACTGTTACATTTGATGGATTGCTGTGAAATTCAGTACAGACATTCATGCTCCTCTCAGGATGAATTGTAAAACCTTTGGTTGAAAAAACCAATCACATTCACATCAGACTCAACTGTACTTTACTTTTAGTGCTAATTAGCAAATCTTAGCATGCTTACACGTCACTTGTAGATGGTGAATATGGTAAACCCTATACAGTACAACATCGGCATGTTAGCATTTTAAGATCAAAGTACCTACTGTACTTGCAGAGATGCTAGCATGGCTGTGTGCTTCTGTAGACAATGAATTGGTTTATTGGTGAGTACCAGAAAGTTCAATGGTTTTAATGGGAAAGTTTGTCAAAGTCTGAAATACAGTACTTCAGAAGACAGCTTACTTAATCTGACTTTCTATGTACACTAGAATTCCTGTACACATTTGCTAATTTGAGCAGGACAAAACAAATATTAAGAGGTATTAGCAGAGAGATAGTGTTTGCCTGCAGCAAGACGGAGTGAGAGAAATGGTACCTGATCTGAAAACATTTGCATTGTGTGTTTGTGGTGGCATTAAACATGGGGGCTGCTTCCTGTTGACACATTGCACATTACTTTCCCAATCTTGCCTTTTTGGTCAAAAGACCCCATGCGTAGTCGCTGAATCTCCCCTTTGTCTCTCAATCTTCCGACATTAAAGGGGAGAAAGATCTTCTAGCATGATGAAATGAAACAGAAACAAAGAAAGAGACGCCTGTGAGGAATTAGTCAAAATGTGATTGCGCCTTTATCCCCAGCATTTCCAATCCTATTTATCCACCAAGGACCCTCCACAAGAGGAGATGTGCTGATATTTGTGTGGATTGTTATTGATCTGGTTGGGCGACTAATCCAGTTAGTCCCAGCTGAAGGGAAGGTAGTGCTTAATGGTGGCTGCAGGTCTATAAGTGAGTGAACATACATTACGATTGTTGGGCCAATAGATGGTTTCAATTTGGGTTTCTTGACTTATTGGCCGACGTGGGACCGAGTCTATCTAAGTCAGCTAGTGTTGACAGTCTACTAATTGCTTTGTTCTGTTTCTTTGGCTTTTTAGTGCAAATTGATAAAAAAAAAATGTTTATCTTTGCTAACTACTTGGCTCTAGGGATGTCTGTTGGTCCGGCTGTTGGTCTTTGGACCAGACTGAAATATCTCATGGACATGAACTACCGTGATGTTTGGTAAATACAGTCATGTTCCCAACAAGATCAATTGTAATAACTTTAGTGATCAATTAATTATCGCGCCATCATCTGGTAGGGATTTGAAATCCTCCAATACTTTGGTTTAAATGAATAAAAGCTAAAGACATAGTTTGTGTTTAGTGTTAACATGCTAAACCTAAGATGGAGAACATGATATATGTGATGTAAATCAGTGTGTTTGCATTGTTATTGTGATAGTGATAGTGTTAAATGTGCTAGCATTTAGCACTCAGCACCATTGTGCCTTCCACACCGAGATATGTACATTTAGCCTTGTTACAGGTTGTCTGTGAAGATTTCTTCTCATAGATATTTATTATTATTTCTTAGTGACATAATCAATCACAGTGATCACAGTCTACCTGCCATTCAGTGCGTTGCCCTCTGTGTTGGCTCAGTTTCTTTCTGACCGTCAGGACTAAAAGATCTCTGTATGTCGGGGGAAATAGTATATACAAGTGGTGGAGTCTTGTCTCTGTATGTTTCAATAACTTACATTGTGTTCCAGGTTTAAGGTGGTTTGTGTAAGCAGCCATATGAGAGGTGTGTTGTTCACTCCAAACATCCGCAGCCTGGTGATACCAGCTACCCCTGAGAGCTGAGCTCAGTTAGGGGGAGAAAAGCTGCCTCTGTAAATTTGGTATTGATTGGTGGAAAAGGTAGACGTGTGTGTCCGTGTTTGGACTCGAGCCATGCTCTGATAAGCGCTAACAGGATGGCAGGGTGGAGTCTGTGAGCTGTAACGGGACAACAGACTGAGAGGAGGAGGAAGAGGAGGAGAGTTAGAGTATTAAGTGGGACTTTGAGTATGGGAGGAAAACACACACAGTAAAAGCTAGATGTGTATTTAGGTCCTTTACTTAGTGCAATACCACAGAATACTTCACTAAAAATAAAAGTCCTGCAATCAAAAATGGGCTTTAAGTAAACAAGTATTATCAGCAAACTACTGAAGTATCAAATTTAAAGAATAGTTGTAGTTTTGGGGGTGTTGTTGGCAGCAATCCCTCATTTTAAAGGAGAACTGCAGCAATGTCAGTTGGTCAACATTGAACAGGGAAGTTAATCTGTAAACTGAGATGAGATTTAATCTTTTCCTTTACTTTATGCACTGTTGTTTAATCTACCTAATGTATGATATATATGAGCTAGTAAAATATTTCCTGTAATATCTTTACCTGCATAACAAGTGGTAACTGCAGCATTTTTCCTCTGAAATGTGGTCGAACAGATGTATACAACATAAAATGGAAAATACTAAAGTAAAGTACCTCAAAACTGCATATAAGTGCAGTACTTGAGTAAATGTTTTCACTCAGGTGAACGCGACTTGTTCTCTCTCATGTCTAAAGTCAGCTGCAACACATACAACCAGATTCTGTCAAAATATGCAGAGAAATATGTGTTCGGTTTAGCGCTCTCATCGCTGCATGTTCAAAGGAGCGTCGGTTCCAGTGAAGACAGAGCAGTTGACATCACAGATGCCTTGTAGTTACATAACTCACTCTATATTTCTCTCTCTCGTTCTGCCTCCATCTTTCTCACCTCCTCTTTTTGCCTTCATATCCATCTTTGTCCCCCCCCTCCCTCCTGCCTCTCCTTTTTGTTTTGGTAGACAAAAAGAACTAGGACAGGCTCTTTACAGAACCTCGCTGTTTGCTTTTATTCCCCCCACTCTCACCCTCTTAAAGTTTTTTTGTTTTTTTGTTTTTTTTCCCCCCTGTCCTGCCAAATATTTGTTGGCTGGCAAAAAAGAAAACCGAGCGGGGGCCCTTTGTTGTCTCAGTTTCTTTACTTATTCAGCCTGTTTTTCCACATCAGGTATGCCAAAGCAGGTAGCGAGAATCCCCCTGATAAGTCCATTCAAATCAGACAAAACTGTAAGATGTTTCCCGTTACCCTTTCAGCATGTTTCACCAGACGACATGTGTCCTATCTGGAAAAAGCTAAGCACATACAACACCGGATGTACAGTATGTGAATGAACATAACAGAGAGGGATTATAACTTTGATGATACTCAGGTTTTGAAGGATTTGAATCGTATTAGAGTGCTCTCCCTTCTGTGTATCCCAGCAGACGGCACTCATGTGAAAACACAGAGCACCAAATGTAGACATGTAATTACATTCTGGTCATGTGAGCTTCACCGTCTTCTTGTCCTCTCTAAGGGAAATAGCACGGGCTTGTGTTTTACTCGCTTTTCCTTTCTTTTCTCACGTCTGCAGTTTTTAAGAAAAAGCTGTCCGCATGCGTGTGTGTGTGTGTGTTTTTGTGCTCTTCCAGTCCTTCATCACTTACGTCCAGATGGATGCCACAAGGCAAAGCACCTCCAGCCTGGGAAATGTCATCTCTCCTGTCCACTCTGTTGTCCTTTTAGCCAGCCCGATGGGACCTTAGAGATAGAGTTTGTGATTTTTATGGTTTTTTTTTTTTTTTTTTTTAGGGGACACCAAATGTGAGCGCGCACACTCTTTCCAGCGGGGTGTGTGTGTGTGTGTGTGTGTGTGTGTGTGTGTGTGTGTGTGTGTGTGTGCAGTCCTACAGGTGAGTTATTATAGACGGGAGGGACGCAGCACCCTCCTTCACCTT